CATTTTTTATCAGTTCTATAAAAGCTATAAGAAATGTTAAAGTAATGAAAGGCTGTATAGAAGAAGCTAAAGGTTATAACAAATACAGTTGGAAGTGTTAGAAATAATGAAAAAAGTTGTGATCTTGCATAGGCTCTTCTCTTAGTCAATTCATTATAAAAAGGATAGAATTTCTCTCTTCTGAAAGATAGTCCAAGAGCTTAAGCCCATAGTTTAGGGTCATATAGTAATATAATTCTATAGTTGTATTTCCTTCTCAAAATATTAATAAAAATTAATAAAAATCTTTGATCTATAAAATATTATAACGTTCTTTTAAAATCATAATACTTATCTTGTAATGCTCCTCATTGAGCACCTCAACCAGTGCCAATTCAAAAGACTGCCTCTATTATCCTAGAGGAACATTACACAGCATAACCAATTTTCTAGTGACAATTTATCACATTTGCCTTATCTCTGAACTTAACATTATTACTTGTTACAATATATTATATGCAGCAGAATTTTTGAAAGACTGCATAGTAAGACTTTTAAAATCTAGATTAGTTAGTATAATTTTGGTTAGTATAATTCTATTTAGATTGCATAATGCTATAAGCTGCAAAGTGACTCATTCCTAATTGTAAGTAATGTATACAAAATTTTTGCTAAGGTAGTTAGTATGTAATGTATAGTGGTGCAGATTACCAAAAGACAAATAAATTTTTAGGATCACATATAATGTAGAAACACTTCACTTATCATAAAATAATGCATTTCATTCATAATATAAGCAAAAACAAGATAGTTTGACATTGTTATATTTTATCATAAGTAGCTGTATGACATTGTCATGCAAAACCAGGAACAGAAGATGGATTTTTAGATCGAGTTGCAGATGAAACTGCTTTCATCATAAGTTTTTTGTTTGCTTAACTTTTATAAGTTTTATTTGCAACTCTAAATTAGATTATATATGCAGTAGGTTGAATACTAACTATGTTATTTAGATGGACTTTATATGTAATTCAAATAGATTAGTATTAGTATAGTATAGATGTAGCATCTTTACTAGAGATGGGTTTTATGTGTGTGCATAATTGCAGAATTATGCACATTAATGTGCATTCATATGCATGATTTCATTTCATACACATTTTATCCTATCAAGATTTCTCTCTTCTTGAATGTTTTTTCTTTTTTTTTGCATTTTTTTTATTATGCGATATCATGCACATGAAATGTTATGTGTGCATTAATGTGCATTTATGCACATGTTATTATAAAATGTGCATTTTTCCTATTACTAAGCCTTGCATATATGTAATTTTTTTAAAATAAATTATTTATTTTTGTTATTATTTTATTTCATGTAACTAATAAATATAATATACATTTGTTAATAGATGTATTTAAAATAAATTATTTATACTATATTAATCCTATCATATTTTAGTTGACAAATTTTATATTTTTAGTTAGCAAATTTTATAATTGATTTGTTAAGTACCAAGGTATTTTATATTTACATGTGCAATTAATCTGTTCTTACTATCTGAGGCACTTTAAATTCTAGGTCTCTAAAAATTGTAAGAAGTATTATAAAAGAGGTCTTTTAGTCTATGCTATATAGTTATTTGTGATTAAATGTAAGTGTAAAAAGCAGAGAATCAAGCATTCAATAACAGTAAGTAGGTTAGTAAAGTAATAAATAGTTTAATTCTTAAGTGTACATGTGAAAAATACATATCTTTAAAATATTGAACTTAGAATAACTAAAATGAATAATGAAATATATTATTTTCTAGATAAAATTTGTAGCATATTTTAACAGTATATAGATTAGATTAAATTTAATTATGGCTAAATATTTATTACAATGAGCCTCTAATTGTGCAATCTCTTTAAATGCACTATTAAATTCTAGCTCAAGTATATACTTTATCTGTATAAGTGTATTTTTTTATTATTTCCCAAGTGTCTTTTATAAAAGTTGAGTCTTTATAAAAGTTACTTAGAGTTTTAACTATAGTACAATTTAAAAATTATTATAATTTATCCAATAGGATTAAGACTAAGCCTCTTTTTTTTTTGAAACAACATTTGTATAAGTTACTAAATATCATATTTAACCTTTTTAAAAATATATAAAATTATGCAGACATTATACTAACAACTTTGCTTCTATACAATATAAATGATATAGTTAGAACAGCAAACAAAAACAGGTAAAATTAAGAATAATTTATAAATATATAATAAGGTTAAAAGCCAAGATAATAAATAAAGAAATTAATATTATTTAATAAGCTAAAAAGAATAATTATCTGATTACAAACATCTAATTCACTTTTTTTTTTTATTATATATCAATAGACAAAAGCTTAGAAGATTGCTACAGACACAGCTTATTGACACAACAAATGACTAGCACTAACCTTAAAGACACAGCATGGCCTGCATTATAGTTAAAGCTAGTATTAGAATATGGCATAATTAGGAGAATTATATTACTTGCTGCTGTGTTCATAGCAATCTCCAAAGCTTATTAGTAAAAATCTAGAAATCACAAGATGAAGTCACAAGATTATAATAACCAATCAGATAAAAAAGAAACACACTATTTTAGATGTCTATAAACTATACTTTATGTTATATATTGTACAAACTTCATTCTTGATAAATCCAATTTAAACAAGTTAACTTTTTTTTTTTATAGAAATTATGTAATATATATTAAGTCAAAATTTGTAAGATCAGGAATAAAACATTTAGAAAACAAGACAAGACTTTAAACCTGAAATGCATGCATACAGTTTATATATGCTATATTAAACTAATTGCACTCTCCATTTATCATATATCAAGCAAATCTTACAGCATTGTTCTGAGTTTCATACAAAATCACAAGGATTATTATTCAATCAAGCACAATATTTTGTACATCGACATCTGAATCGCATATAAACCACTAGAATAAAGTAAACTGTTATAATGGCAAGTGCTATTTTGTGCAACTTCAAATTATGTGAAAATGAAATAAGATAGTTTAATAAAAACAAAAAGCATAAAATAGTAAAAAGGCTGCATAACAAAATTGATAATACAGATGGGATCTTGCATAAAACAGGTAATAACCTGACAATTAAAAGCCACAATAATAAATAGTAAGGGCCTATATTTAAATCAATGACTAAATAAGATAGTCAAAATACTTTAAAATACAAGCATATAATACACAAATTCAGAAATCATGAAATAAAGTCACAAGGATTGATTATCCAATTAGATTTAAGATTTTGTACATTCACTTTAGAGTGTCCAGAGGGCTGCACTCTAACTAACAAATTCTGCTATGATTACTGTTAGATTTGTGAATTCTGTAGTGGCATATAAATAGTATTTTAAATTTTAATATATAAAAAATTTTTATTGTAGTTTCGCAAAAATACCTATTTAAGATCAAATATAATTTATTGTAATTGAGTAAAACAATATATATTATATTCTACTATTATATTTGTTGAAATTAACTGCAAGGTCTAAGTGGCTACTACAGTAAATATAGTAGTTACTTGTTCAGTAGTAGTTGCTTGTTCAGTGATAGTTGCTTGTTCATAGTGGTTGCATATTTGATGGTAGTTGCATATTCAGTAGTGATTGCTTATTAAAAATTTATTTATTTTTATTTGAAAGTTTTCTGTAAAATATATTTATTAATTAGAATTGTAATATAAAAAAATTAACATTATAATAAAATTTTCTGAAAGACATTTTTTATGATCACTAAGAATAGTTTTGTAAGGAGAAAAACTATATTCTATATCCATATCTGAAACAGGTACCCAAATATAAAATAGTGCTATTTTAGATAAAATTGGTAATATGTTTCTTTTTTCTATCCAATATTTGTTTAAGACAAAATTATTATCAAAAATTTCTTATAAAATATAATATATTCTTTATTTATTAATTAAATTATTTGTGAATAATAGAAACTCATCAATTTCTTTGTAATTATCTAAACTATGCCTATTATTTTGTGCTTATATATATTTCAGAGCAAAGCATCTAATTGCTCTAAAAAGAGAAAGTGCATTATGTCTATCAACATGTTTTTTAAACTTATTTCAAGCCAAGTTATATGCTTCACAAAAAATAAGTTTATAACTATTTAAATTAATTCCATTTGATGTATATTTTTCAATTAACTTTGTATCTAATGGTGGTTCATGCATGTCATTTGTTAATACTACATAGGTCTGTTTGATTCTTGTAATAACATATGATGCAACAGATTTGTTTCTAATCATCAAGAATTCTAAATCTAATATGAACCTAAAAAATATATATTTTATAATTTTAGTAATTAAATATAATGTAGTATAATACATACTTATATGTACATATATATGTATGTATATATATGTATATATAATATATAACTTTGTGCATTCGATGTAATAAATAATACCAAAATTTCAAATTTAAGAATAAGTGTATTATTACAAACAAATTGTGTCAATTCTTGAATTACAGTATTATTATCATTGATATTTTTTTCTTTTTGATAAAATGTAATAAGAAATGAAAAATATTGATTAATCTAAAAAATAAATTTGAACTAAGAATTTCAACAAGTTTTAACAAATAAAGGCAATAATATAGTAGTAATAGAATTTAAGTTTCATCTTGGTTCAAATTTGTATCCAAACGTGAATTAAAATAAATAAAAATAATTGCATAATAACAACATTTAAAGATAGATGACTAATTCAATAATGCTTATAGGCTAAACAATGAATAAAAGAAGATTTGATAAGTGAAACAATATTATCTACTAACTTGAATTAATAATAATTTGTCTATGTTCTGCTAACTAAATTATAGATATGAGCTAAACAAGTATTATGATATAATTTTAAAAAAAATAGTTTTAAATTTTGAAAAGATTTCAACATATAAGTAACATTATCAGAGATATAAAGTCTAACATTTTCATAAAGTATATTATATAGTTAAATGATTGACATAACAAGTTGTGAAATTGTTGTAAAATCAACCTTTTTAAGATGTTTTGTAGTGACTAGTTTTGTTTTATTTTCAAAACTAAAAAGAATATTAACAACTACTCTACCACAAGCATTTGTTGATTCATTTACAGTAATACAAATTTGCTGGTTTAATAATGCTTCATGTAACTTATCTAACTCCAAGTCATATAACATTGGTAAAGAATTTTCTCAAAGTTGATTAAATCCAACAATGGAAGTACCTATATAAAATAGAATTAATTTATTAATAATTTATATATACATTATATAAATATATAATTTATTTATTAATCACAATATTTACCAAATTTGCAATATTTTTTAAAAAATACTTTTAATTTATCATTATCCAATTTTTCAAGAGGTATATCAATGGCTATTAAAGCTTGAACAAGATCCAAATTCATTTGTTCTCTTTCAGATAAATGTACAACATTGATATTTTGTTGTACTTGA